CTCACAGGACATGTCTGTCTCACAGGACATGTGACTGTCTCACAGGACGTGTCTCTGCAGATTGTCTCATCATTGTGTGTTTTCATGGCCCTGTGCTGCCTTCAGGTGGTTCTGAGTGGACATGAAGGGACATATAGGGACATGCAGGGACGTTGGGACGAACGGTTGTTGCTGCAGCAGTGAAGGACTCACCCTGACTGTTGCAGCCTCGTGAGTCTTCTTGTCCACCTGAACCCTTTAGTCTTGTTGTGTCTTTTAAAACCGTTTTTTAAAGGACCCAGAGTCCACCAGGTCTTACCTGTCTCAGTTAGGCAGGAGTCTGAGGACAGCTGTCTCAGTGAGACCCTAACTCCCCGTGATGGAAACAGAACCAGGTGCTGCTTCGACCAGCAGGTGGCGCTAAAGGACAGGAACCACTTTCACCTGGTCTACGGAAGCCTGTTTCTGCCAATTAAAAAAAAACAAACACATGGTGTCTCAAATTTACAAGTTTTAAAGTCTGAAATTATTTTGAATTTTAAAACCCTATTTATAAAACTTATATTCATAATAATAAATAAAAAGTCATAAATATGAGCTTTAATTCACTGCAATTAGTTTTGAACTCATAACTATAACTAACAAATCATAATTAAAGATAAAAGCATTTTATCCTTAAAATCATTATAATGAAAATTAAATTTATAATTTTATGTTTTAAAGTCATAGTTTTATATTTGAATCTGAAATAAATTACATTTAAACATTATAATTTTTGAAGTGTTTCAAAGTCATAAATAACCTTATTATTATATTATAGATTAATGTATCACATAGTTCTGACTTTTAAAGTAATTTAAACTCCTAAAAGTGTTTTAAAGTAATAATTACAAGATAACAAGTTGCATTTGTTGTTGTTTGATGTAAAATATAAAAAATATGTTTTATGATAATTATGAATAACTATATTACAACTCATATTTACATTAAAACTTCAAATTTTTAACTTTAAAACTCATAATTATGACTTTAAAAATCATAACTTGACGATGGCAGACATTTCATATTGAGTTTGTATCATAATCAGCACTTATAACATTTTTAAACTCACACATTTTAATTTCAAAGACTTTTATTTATGAGAGAACTCCATATTGGTTTGGATGTCACACGTTTGAGGTACAAAGTTTCCAGTTTGGAAATATGATTACAAACGGTTTAAAGTCATAAATATAAGAGAAAAAACAGCAGCATTGAGTCTAAACCTATTAGGAAATATAAAGATATGTTTTTTTTATGATTTTAGACTTATAATTGTGAATTTTTAAAAGTTGAAAATTCTTTATTTTGAGATTAGAAAATTAAAAAGTCAAATTTCTGACTACAAATCATGTTTTCATAACTTTGAGACTAATTTTGGTTTTGTTTGTTTTTTAACCATATTTATGACTTTTTTTAATTTAATTTAGCAGAAATGGTTCTTCCGTACCGGTTTAAACATTTGGAGGAGCAGGTCTCCCTCGAGGCTCAGTGACACCAACCTGGAGAAATAAAGGTTGAAGGAAAAACGTCTTTATTTCTCGTGAACTGAGTCGAGTTCAGTCCCAGATTTCTGTCTCGCTCTCCATGGAGGAAACGTTTGCTCTTATCTTCATTTAGAAACTGGAATCCAGACGGCGGGACAAATACCTCTGGAGGTTTTAATCACACTTTGATAAAAGTAGGAATTCCTCCCCCCCCCCCCCCCCCCCCCCCCCACCCCCGCATCAAACCTCCCTTTCAGGCCGGACCTCCAGACAGAGGCTCATTGTGTGGAGCTGCCAAGTGGACCGAGGGCGGCGGACTCTCAGGACCCAGCTCAGGACTCAACAGGTGGGGAGAGCTTAGCTCCTGATTGTGAGCCCTTCAGACCCCCCCCCCCCCCATGGAGCACACGCTGCAAACACCCAACAAAGGCCTCAGACGTTGACAAAAGGCCCACAGCTCTTCGCCTGAGGCAGCTCAGAGGCGCGCACCCTCCTGATGAGGAGTTTAAACCCGACACCTCGCGTTTCTTTGTTTGCTCTGAGGCTCTGTGGAAGGCTCGGAGGAGAAAGGAGGCGAGGGAGGTTCATAGGAGACCGAGGGGACGGGCGGACGACGTGAAACTGGAGCTGGATCCAGTGAAAGGAATGAACAGGGCGTGAGCTTCACGCTTCGAACGCAAGGTCACCAGAGGGAGAAACTGAGCGAGGGAGGAGTAAAACTACAGCAAACAGATAGGGAGGAGGAGGAGGAGGAGGAGGAGGAGGAGGTTTGCTGTGAGGCTCAGATGACAGCAAACAGACGAGAAGAAAGATCCATGAAGTCTCTGCTGGAGCAGAGGAATGTCTGAAGAGGAGAGCCCCGGCCTGATTCACAGTTAGGGCTTTGAAGGAGACGTGATGCGTTCAGGGTGCGAGGCCGGAGGGAGCAGAGGGGTCAGGGGTCGCAGGCGAGGTGGAGGTCAGGCGACGAGGACGCAGTCCTGCAGCTCATCTGCTGGAGAGGAGGAGAAACCTGTGACCAGCAGGAGGTCCTGCTCCAGGTAGGTTCAGGTTCATCCTGGTGTTGATCCAAAACACGCAGCTGCGTTCGCTGCCGGTCCCACCAGAACCAGGTCCGGACGGTCCGCATCCAGCTCTCAGCGACTCTGCAAACATGCTGAAAGACAAACACGAGTTTCTGAGACAACACGGAGACCGAGACACGCTGAAGAAGCTGAAACGGGTTTCAAAGCTCAAAGAAGCAGAATGCTAGCTAAAAGCTAAAAGGAGCCAAAGGTAGCTTCATCTCCATCTTCTACAGCTTATCTGTGGTTGGGTCGTGGAGGCAGCAGCCAGACCTCCCTCCCCCCAGAGACACTCTCCAGCTCCCGGAGGACCCCAAGGTGTTCTCAGACCAGAGAGGACATCGAGTCCCTCCAGAGAGTTCTGGGTCTGCCCCGGAGTCTCCTCCCAGTGGGACACGTTCATCAAACCTCCAAAGGGAGGTGTCCTATTCAAACGAGTCCCCTCCGCTGACTCTGCTCAATGAGGACAGAGCAGTAAATCCAGAGCTTTGCCTTTCATCACCATGACTGACCGGAGCAACAGCCTCATTACTGAGGAGAAGGTCCTGCTGCTCCGTCAATCCTCCCGTCAGGAACAGGACGCTCCGATACGAGCACTACCAGACCTGTTAGCTGCCCCCCACTGGAGGACCGGGTCGACCTGCATCTTTGAAGAACCAGAACGTTTAGTCCCGATCCTCCGTGAACTTTATAAAACCGCCGCTGACGTTCACATCCTGCCTCTACGTTGCCAGATAAGAAAATACTAAATGTTGTACAGTTGCTTTAAATTATTTAAGCTGTTTTATGAGAGGCATACATGGTCAGCTGAAGGGTGGGTGGTGATTGGTACACCTGTGCACAGGTGAGGAGGAGGAGCCTGAACCACACGGTCTGGCTGTTTGGGTCGGACGTCCTGATGATATTTGGGCGATCATGTAAATAAAAATGTTGTTCAACGCCCGTCGAAGGCGGAACGTGTTCTGGCAAAATCTCCCTCCGTCTGTAAACTTTAACTTGTCCCGTCCAGAACTTCTGATCCGCTCAAGATAATTTTACAAAATCTCGTACACTTAGGCGTCGTCACTAGACGATTGTTGCCGGAACGTTTCATCCCTCCAGCTTCAAGGTCAACATCCCAAATCAAGGTCAACGTTAAATAAAAATCTCTTTGCTTGTCTGGACCGTAACTTCTGATTTGCTCGAGGAAATTTAATGAAACTCGTTACACACTTGTACCACCGCTGGACAGCAGGCTGCGTAATCTTGTCATCACCACAACGCTAAGGTCAAGGTCAAGAATCAAGGTCAACGTCCGGGCCACTGCTACAGATTGCTGTATAAGTTTGCAGCCGGATGCTCTTGTTTATTTCTGTAAACTACTGAATGTTTGGACTTTTACAAACTGTTTATGGTACAGACCTTAAAACTATCATGTAAAGTTATTGTGTATGTGGCAACACGGACCGTTAGTTTTATTTTAACAGTAATTATTTGCTCTACTGTGACGTTTCTCATAAATTTGGTGGAACTAAGCGTAAACGGGAGAAGCGAGGCCCAGGGGCAGCAGGGATTTCTTGGCTCACGCCTCCTGATGAAAAACTAATGAAAGCTTGTTTTATTTGGAGAACGCTTGTTGGGTTTTGGGTCAGACCTGCTGCTCCGTCATGTTTTCTCCAGCCAGCTGGAGAGGCGGCCACGACGGTCTTCATCCCTCCACCAAACCAACTCGCCGACCTCGTTTCTGTCGAGGAGCTTTAGACGTGCTCCTCTTTCGGCTCGACGTGACGTTACGAGCTCAAATTATCGCCCAGACGTTTTCACTGCTGAACTCTTTAACGCTTCGAAGCAGATTAATTAGGAAGTGATACCAGAAGGAAGGGAAGCTGCTCAGATTATAACTTTTTATAATCTGAGCACGTGGACTTCATCCTTCACGCTGCGTAACATTTGGATCCTCAACTTTAAGAACAAATCAGATATTAAATTATTGATAAACTGGATTTTTTACTTTTGATTCTTTCTGTACTTTTGAATTATTTACATTCTTCCTTCTTCTACTTTTAATCTCAAGCTGAATCTTGTTCTTCTGACCTCGTTGACTGTTTTCCGACCCGTCCCTCTTTCAGCAGGGAGAGGGTCCGTTTGGCCACGGACTCGGAGCTGGACCTCAGCGACCGGCTCGGCCTGGGCAGCAGTGACACCCTGACCAACGGCAGCCACCGCGGGGACGTGGCGGCTGCCAGACGTCTGGCCAAACGCCTCTTCAACCTGGACGGCTTCAGGAAGTCCGACGTGTCGCGGCACCTCAGCAAGAAGTGAGTTTTACCCGTTGGATCACTTGAAAAACATCAAATTCAGTTTGCAGGTGACTTTTCCTGCCAGTCCCAGTACTCTTTAAACCAGGCATGTCCAGAACTGGTCCTTGTGGGCCACTGTCCTGCATGTTTTACAGGTTTCCCTGCTCCAGCACACCTGGTTCACATCAGGTGTGTTAGAGCAGAGGCATCTCTGAAACATGGCCCACCTGGACCGGTTCTGGACACTTGTTTTAAACAAACCTGGTTTAAGCAGGTAAGTTCACTTTCTGGACTCGGGTTAATCTGAGTCCCTCAACGGTTCACTTGTGTCACTCGAGCCGATCACGCTGCACACCCCCGCCCATAATAATCCCCAAAACAAAAGAACTTAAAAAAACATGGCTCCGTTTACATATTCCAGGGAATTTCTTTCTACAGCTTCACACGAAGAATGAACAGATAAATTACAAATGATGAAACAAAACAAATGAAGCTCAAACGTAAAGCGTGCAAACCAAATACACGTTAAGCAAATTATTAACTAACAGCTGCTGCTGGCTCCGGTTGAGGAGAGAGACTTTAGGATTGAAGCGTTTTCTCACTTTCTGACTGATGCATCGTGGGAATCTCCGCCTGTTTTACTCTTATTTTGTCCCTCGCTCTGCAAATCGCGCTGACAGACGTTTCAAACTGAGGTCATTCCCTGAGCTGAGGACTGTTGTGGGTTGAACTGACGCTCTTTTGTTGTTTTCTTCTTGTTTATTTGTGCACAGCAACGATTTCAGCCGCTTGGTTGCAGAGGAATACCTGAGCTTCTTCTGTTTTATCGGCCTCACACTCGACCAAGCTCTGCGGTGAGAAAACACAACAGACAGGAAAGTTTTCTGCCATTTTTTTAGCACAAACATTAGAATATTTTTATTAAAAATAGTCACTATGATGTTTTTAAGTCTTTAAAATGTTTGTGTTAATCACCTCAAAAAGTTCTTGTTTCTGTATCACAGCAGTTTTTGATTTAACCTCAGAAAAATAATAAAAATCTGAATTTTTATGTTTTTTTAGGTTTTCTTTTTCATGTAGTAATTTGTTTTCAGGTAAACACTGCCCTCTAGTGGACTAATTTAACATTGCATTTAAATTTTATTATTATTTTTATTATTTTTTCGTATTTTATTTTATCCACATTAGATAATATTTATTACATACTTTGAGGAATTTTTGGATAGTTCACTGTTACTTAAAATAAAAAAAATTAGTGATTCAAATGAGGTCACGTTTGACTTTAAATCCAGTTTTTTGCTAATGAACTGTTTGTTGTGCAGGACTTTCCTCAGGCAGTTCGCTCTGATGGGGGAGACTCAGGAGAGGGAGAGGGTGCTGTCTCACTTCTCAAGGCGCTACTTGGAGTGCAACCCTAAAGTCCTACCATCAGATGGTAAGTGCTGAGGAGGGGGTGTTTTTATGGTAAACATGGTAAATGCACAAAAAAAAATTATGATACGATTATTTAACGCACCAAACCCATACACTATACAACTTTATTTCTGTGTATAGATACAAGAAGAAAAACCAGTTAAGTTAAAACAAAAATGATTGTTTTTATTTTAGCATGCAAACAATTAAATACTGTTTTTCTATCTGCTCTTTAGGTCAAGTCTAACATTATTTATGAAGCACGAAATAATCTGCTGTACTTTAAAAAAGGGGAAAAAATATACAATTTCAAAATAAATACAATTATAAGTGTGTACAATTAAGATTTTTTAAATAAAAATAACATAGCTCTCTTCTTTAATGTTCTGATTTTTGTTTATGTTATTTTTTGGACAGAGAAAGTAATGACATAATAAAAGCATTAAGCCTTAATATTTAATTGATTTTATTAGTTTGTGAAAGTAGCCATGCTTTAGCTTTTTTCCCCCCCTTTAATACGTCTCTTTTTCCAGATTTTATCTTGTTTTTTTGGTCACCTTTAAGCTTTAAAGTGTTCACTCCATTTTCTGTTTTATTTTGAAAACCTTTGCTTACCGTAGTGCAACTTCCTGTTTGGATTCAATGTGAAGTTAGCTGTTAGCATTAGCATCGCTGTTAGCATCGTTAGCATTAGCATCGCTGTTAGCATCGGTTAGCATTAGCATCGCTGTTAGCATCGGTTAGCATTAGCATTGTTGTTGGACAAATTAAGCTTATTTTCTTGATAAAACTTAGAGCTGCAAAACATACTTGACCCTCGAAACAAAGGTGAGCTTATTCAAATATATGTTTTTAAATTAAATTAAATTAAATGAATTGCAAATAACTTTTTGAAACTTTACTGGTATTTTTATGCAGCACAAGGTTTAAAATGTGATGTACTGTACTTTGAAATACGCAAGCAGGCCTGAGTATTTAATATTTGTGTTAATTATTTTTTATACTATTTTAAATAATACTTTATACAACTGCAGCCTGATACATTTAGAAAATGTAATAAAAATAAGCTCAGCTTGTTGTTAATGCATTCTTTTGTATTTGCTACTGTCTTCATTTACTAAATTTGAACGTTTAAACTGATTTATCTTTCAATGAATGCTTTTTATTTTTTTTACATTTTTATTTTGATAATATTTTGGTGTAATTTACTGGGTGTCATGAATGGGACTTAAGTAGCTACAGTTTTTTCCTCTAACGTTATTTCTTATTTTCTGGTTGATGTCTGATCTAAGCATCACAGTCTGTTTAGCTAAATGGTGAAATTCCACCTTAAATTTAATCCCATCTGCACTGGTTGACCTCATGATTAGTCACTCTTTAGGACAGGTTCTTACATGCAAATGAGCTTTTTATTTTTTAAGGAAACACATGCAAAAGATGTAAACAAATAAAACCACATTAATTGTTTTAGAACAACCTGCATTAAAAATGTGTTTCTAAAAAAACTTAGCATTTGGTAATGTGGCGTAAATGCAGCACGTTATCTTCGAGCAGAAGGACACTTTCATACTTGTTTGCAGAGATCTAATGGAGTGTTTTTTCCTGCAGATGCAGCTCACACGCTCACTTGTGCCCTGATGCTGCTCAACACGGATCTGCACGGTCAGGTGAGAAACCTGGAGGTTATCTTGAGAAGGTTTTAGAGCCGTGCTTCATTAAAACGGTTGTGTCAATAACTGCGAAGGCTTTGGACTCAAGCCGATCATCTGATCTGCAGGCTGTCCTCCAGAGCCTCTTTCGTCGTCAGTAATTGTCTCGTTCTCCAGTCTCAGCCTTCTTTAGGAAATCTGGGCCAGTGGCGGCTCTGCTCAGTGACAGAGCAGCTCGGTGGATGAATGATTAATTAACGAGATGGAGAAGGGAATCGGCTCTTTCAGGGAAGTTCAGGGAAAGTTTCAACCCATCTGAACAGATTTAAATTGGACCTGTCGTCATTGTAATGAGATATACAGATTGTGACCTTAGAATCTGGATTATAGCAAATAATTTATAATTCCAACGATTTCCTCTGAAGAAACAGAAAACTGTGACACATTTCCATCATAGTTTGACCTGAGTGAAATATAGCAGTGTTTGCAATAAAAAATAGAGCTTAAATTACCTTAAAATAAACATAAGCAAACCATCAAATCTTAGTATGTAGTTTATTTTATACATAGATGCCTTTCAGTTTGAAACTGTTTATTAAAACTGTTAAAACTCTGGTTGAGTGAACAGCTTCTCTAAAGTTTAAAAAAGATTTAGGGGATTTAAAAAAAGAAGCTGATTTGTCTAGTAGATTAAATCGTTTTTGTGTAAACGCTGTGAATGCATTAACGAGTTTTTTTATTTATTACATTTTTTTAATCTATACTTTTGCATACTTTGGGCTACTTTAGCTATTTATATGTCAAAACCTTCAGCTGATTCAGTGATCGTTTGGTTTTTGTAACTTAAAAAAAACAACATTTTATCAACCACTTTTCCAACAGAAATACAGCGAGATCTCTTTCATTTCCTTAAAATGTTTTCTTTGAGATCTGCTTGAAGACACTGGCTCTGTTTTTGTCCAATGCTACTTTTAGGTTTCAGCTAGTCTTTTGTCACTTTTAGCTTTTAGCTCAGTGGTGTCCAGTCCTGGTTTCCAGGAACACAGTCTTGCATGTTTGAAATGTTTCTTTGCTTTGACGCACCTGATTCGTATCAGTAAGGGATCGGCATGCTTCTGCAGAAACTGAAGACTGCCGAAAAGCTGAGAAATAACTAAAACATGAGGGATGGTGGCCCTCAAGGACCTCGACTGAGGATCACTGTTTCCTTGTTTTTAGCTATAAGCATTTCCTACTTTGAGCTTCCTGTTAATGTTTTACTTCTCTTAGCTTTTAGCTAGCCATTTGCTAGTTTTAGCTTTCAGTTAGCCTTAAGCTTCTTTTAATAAACAATTCACTGTTTTAGCTTGCATTTAGCTACTTTTAGGTAGCCATTTGCTAGTTTTATCTTTCATTTAGACTTAAGCTTCTTTTAACAAACGTTTCACTGTTTTAGCTTGCATTTAGCTACTTTTAAGTAGCCATTGGCTAGTTTTG